AATTCCTTGCCTGGGATTCTGTGCCTAATGTTCACAAATCTATAAACCCACCAGATGCCAGAATGGTGCCTTGCTCCCTCCCTTCACTGCCCACTTGATTACAGCACACAGTCATTCTTAGAATGTAAGAGAGGATGCCACAGTTCTGGATGCCCTCACTTATCAAGCCCACATAGGTCAAAATACTGTGGTTAGAGACATATGCTCCAGGGTCAGACCACCTAGGAAAGAATTCTAGACTTAACGCTAGGGTAAACTACTGAACTTGGGTAAACTACTGACCCTGTCTGAGCCTAGTCTCCTTCTCTGTAAAATAGGGATAACACTATTATCCCAAAGGTTTATTATAAAGAGTAGATTCAACAACATGTGTAAAGCAGCCAGTATAGTATGTTGCACATAGTAAACACTCAATAAATGTTCACCCTTGTTATATCCTGAGAATGAATCACTGGAGAATCATTTAGCAATTGATTGCCATATGTGGCAAGAAAACTAAAAGTAAATTCTTTTTTGCCAGGCATTATTCTGGACTACTCTCGCATAGTTTAATATACACGACAACCGACAACCACTGAAGTAAACATTGTTCTTACTAGTTTTATAGGCTCATAGAAGCCACTTACCCAAAGTTATTTTGTCTAAATAAAAGAATAGCCAGTAGCTATTTAAAGCCCCTGTTTCCTCAGTTAAGCCAAGGTGCCTCTTATGCTTCAGAGGATGAGAACTCTTCATCGGTGACACAGTTACAGTGAAATTAGCAACATACTCATAGGTTTAAATTGCACTCCAGAAAGTCGTCTGACTCCAGCCTATTTCAGTTTCTGTTTACAGTTCATAAGGATATAGCCATCCTCACAACTGTTGGATTGTCACCTTTGAAGTATTATTGTGAAGTTAACAAGGATGTGTTTTTACAAAGTAACCTGAAGATCCTGCCTCAGGCCTGATGACTTCCCAGCAGGAGCCCAGCAGTGGTTTATCTCAAAGACTTTGAGCCCACTGGCTCTTCTAAACCCCTTTATAGGTAAAAGCTTGGAATTGATTAATCATTTCTGAGGCATTGACTTCCTACCCTGGAGTTGGGGGCCCCATTGTTTAGAAGAGAGTGGAAAAGGTGAGGTACAGGCTGCTGCTTTCAGGCTCTGGCATGGGTCACTCACTAAGGCTGGGAATGTAAGAGTTCAGGCCAGCACTCATGGTTCTCCTATTCCCAGGTCTGGGTTCAATTACCACCTTCCTCTACACCACTTTGTGAGACCTCATCTATCAGGAAGTATTATCTTTGATAGTTCAAGAGACTAAATTCCAGTAAGACCTTTCCTAAATCTTCATATACCTCTCAATAGAAAGGTACTTCGGAAGAAGAGTGCTCTGAGAGACTCCTTTAAAATCCTGTCTTCCAGTTTCTGTTAACTGTAAGGGCAAAATACAAAATACAAAGTTTTTACCCATTTTCATTTCTGAAGTCAGAATATACCACACAATAGATGCATGCATTTGATGTGAGAGTATCCCCATTTTTCTCAAAAATTGTTATTACTACAGTGATGTGTCAATATTTACAAAAACTGCTTAGAATTCAGTAAAAGCCAAATAAAGACAACACCTTCCTCTGAGTTCCCTTGGTATTTTGTATGTTCTTCTATTATTTTTTAAACCATTTATTTTCATATCTGTCTCCTCTACTAGTCTAGAAATTCCTGAAAACCATTGGTTTTCTGTGTCCCCTACTAATCTGTAAATATCTTAAGAGATGGAACTTCTTTTTGTTTGTCTTTATAGTCTCAGCAAAATGTTGTTTCTAAAATCTAGTTAAGTGATCAACAAATGTTTGGATGGATGGATGGATGGAGAGAGGGAGGGATGGATTAGATGGATGGACAGACGGACAGACAGATGGAATCCTCACAGACTTTGTGAAGTAGGTGTTTGAGCCAATCTAACTTGAATTTCTCTTTCATGGTGTCATCTTTTCACAGATCATAAGTTTAGAGATTTTAGAGATGATAATACCATCGACCAACATCTCCCATTTCTTTTTTCTTTGTAGTTCTAGCCATTCAGAGGGCATGAAAAGAGTCCCAGGGTCCTCCATCCACCCATTTTCTTTACAGACAAGCAAGTTTCTTCAAAAGGATATGCTTAGTCAGTTTCAAGTTCAATGGCTTTTTAAATGCCATCTCATTTCCCTCTTGAAGAATCCAACTCTGCAGACCATTGTAATATTGATATATACAAAAATTTTTAAAAGCTGATATTTATTGAGAGGTCTCCATGCCAGGCACTATGTTATTGCTTTATATATTATAATGATTCAATCTTCATGAACACCCTAGGAGGTTCAGAGAGCTTAAGTAACCTATCCAAGATGACATAGCTAATAAGTAAAACAGCAAGAATGTGAACTCAGTCTAAGTTCAGAGTTCTACATTTTATTTATTTATTTATTATTTATTTTATTTATTTATTTGAGAGAAAGAGCAGAGCGAGAAAGAGAGCATAAATGGGGGAGGCAAGAGAGAGGGAAAAACAGACCCCCTGCTAAGCAGGGAGCCTGACATGGGGCTCAATCCCAGAACCCTGGGATCATGACCCAAACTAAAGACAGATGCTTAACTACCTGAGCCACCCAGGTGGCCCCCAGAGTTCTACATTTTTATCTCTAATAAAATCACCCACGTGTCTCTTATGTAGCTATTTTGAGGGTTTTATTATTTTTAAAAAAATATTTGCTTATTTATTTAAAAGGCAGAGAGAGAACAAGCAGGGGAGAGGGAAAAAGAGAGAGAGACTCTTAGGCAGATTCCCCACTGAGCACTGAAGTGACATGGGGCTCAATCTCATTGTCCTGAGATCAGGACCTGAGCTGAAGCCAAGAGTCAGATGCTTAACCTGCTGAGCCATCCAGGCACTCCTTAAGGGTTTATTCTCAATGATCAACTGCTTTCATTCTATCACAGATGTGCAATACTTTAAATATGTTAATGCTGATTATTAAGCAGGACATAGTTAGGAAATAATTTTACTACTTCCATGAGGGTACCTGGGTGACTCCGTCAGTTAAGCATCTGACTCTTGATTTCCCCTCAGGTCATGATCTCAGGGTTATGGGATCAAGCCCTGCTGGATGTGGAGCCTGCTTAAGATTCTCTCTCTCTCTCTCTTTCCTTCTGCCCTCCACACACACACATCCTCTCTTAAAAAAAAAAAAATTAATCCCATTAAATGGGATAGGATTCTATTACAAAGAACTTTGAAATGAGAGCTGAGATAGGAAACATAACAGGAAAACATATGGAAACGCAAGGTGCTGACTGTCTTTGCTGGCTGTACCGTCCAGCAGTTTTCCCTCAAAGGGAGCAGTGAAGTCACAGGGGATCATCCACTCTGTGTAATGTAACACGTCTTGATTAAATTTTAAAAGGAAGAAAAGGAAAGTGTAGTCTCTATACTGTCTACTTGAAGGTTAGGGCATATACAAGAGGCTGATGTTTTCTCTCACTAGCTGTTGGAATGTATCATATAACTTGTGCCCACTTAGGAATCAAGTTTGGGAAAGGATTGCTATCTATGAATTCCCGGTAGCTGTTTTTATTAACATCTTGGGACATTAATGTTGCTTCTAACTTAATTATTCATGCTATTTTCAACCACATATTATATCACCATCAACTCAGTCCAAAGACTAAAATAAAACAATCCTTGGAAAATTCCAGTGGCATACTCATCCAGAGGGATGTGACCTTCAAAAGGCTTACTCAAATGCCTGCTCAAAGTCCCAGCATTCTCTGTTCCTCACATGCACAATGGAAGTGGTCCCAACCCAGACTATATTTGCTATCTCAAATTCTTTACTCACCCCCACCTGCTAGGCCAAAGACTTTCCCTCCAAGGACATGCCCCAACTTGTAGAAAGAATTATATCAATTAGAAACACTGCATTGACAGTGGTCAAGAATAAGCTGTGCCAGGAGTTCACATGTCATGAATACCAGCCATGTTTGGTTATTTATAACACAAAGTCAGGGCAATGGAATACTGACTCTTATAGGCTGCTTCTCTGGTCACTATGTTGCATTTTAATTCATATCACAGACTAATTAAACGGACTAAAAAGTACAAACTGGAGCTCAAATTTTCAAAAGGGAGATAAAGAAGACTGAATCTAGAATGTACTGAATACCTACTAAAGGGCAGGCCTTGTGCTGGGACTTTACTTATGTTACCTCTTTAATTCCCACCACAATCATACGAAGGAGGTATTGTTGTCTCCATCTTACAGATAAGGAAGGAAACATAACCTCCAAAGGATTAAATATCCTACCCAGGTAAGTGGTAAAGTCAGGATGAAGACCAAGACCATGTGACACAAATTCCATGTTTGTTTTTACTACCAGATCAAATTTCTCCCACACTGCCTAGTCCAGGACCAGAAGCAGAATAAGGTTTAAGATGTACAGATTTTGCAGTAGGACATCCTGAGCATTTAAATCTGCTTCATCACTTCTTAGCTATGTGACCTCATCAAGTTATTCAACCTCTCCAAACCTCAGTTTCCTCATCTTTAAAAAAGGAGAGATTGTTATAATGCTACCTCATAAATTCTAAATACTTGGCAATAATTATGATGATGGCCATATTCCCCCACAAAGCCTCCTCACCTGTTAAATAGAATAGTAATAACAAGGATTAATATTAACTGAATACTTACCATAGGCCAGGCACTGCGGTGAGGGTTTTACATGAATTACCTCATTTAATTCTAATAATCTAGTGAAATAATATTAGCTAACACTTTTTGAACACTATGTACCAAGATCTATTTAGATATTTACTCATATTAACTAGTGAGTAACTGAGGCAGGTAATATTGTTGTTCCAAGTTTGCAAATAAGAAAACAAAAGCTCAGAGAAGATAAGTAAATTGCCTATTGTTACATAGCTAGGAAAAGATGAAATCACGTTAAGAACTCAGGCAGCTACACTTAGGTGTTCACAATCTTAAACTTGAGTTTCATGCTCCTAGACTTGGGCTAGGTATCTGACACAGTACCTATACTTAAAGTGCTCTCAGACGTATTGAAGTTATAAGACCTACACATTTAATAAATGGGATGCTATAATGTTATAGCCAAATGTCCAAAATATGCAAAATACACATCAGGGGCCTTGGAAGATATATGAGGCAGTGGGGATGGTGGTCTATGTATTCTGGAGAAGCTTTCCTGGAGAATATGTGGCTTTTACTGAGCCTTGTGGGATCAAGTCAGTCAGGGGGTGAGGTGGGGGAATGTTTCAAGAGGAAGACTAGCAAACATGGAAATGTAGATGTGAGCCATGTGTGGGGAAGAATTTTGTGTGTATATGTGTGTGTTGAAAATTTTATTAACATTTAGTTTAAAAAGCTTTACACCTGTGCCAAGCCAATTCATAGAAGGTTCTCAAAGAAGTTACCCATTAGGGTTTGGTCCTTTGTTTAGAAGTCATGGGGCCTTGGTGTTTTTTTGTTAAGCGGTTTAAGAATTCATTATCTTGGTCCAGGGCTGGTAATATTGCACCACTTTCTTCTCCCTCACAAAAATGGTTCTTGATAATGTTCAAAGCAGTCAGGGCAACCTGAGGATTCTCATGAAGTTGCAAAGCCTCAATTTTATCAATGCCACCAATTTCTTCTATCAGAAGATACAGATTTTCCTTCTCTGAAAGCTTCTCTGCTGCCTGTAGGATAAAAGAGATAATGTCAAGGATGATGATAACAATTTTGGTGTCTTGGATGGTAAGCAGATTCACCAGTGGCTCCTGGACTCCAGAGTGGACAAGGTGGATCAACTGGTCTATGGTGCCTCCAGTTGTGAAGTTAGCCACGGTCCAAACAGCCTCTTTCTGGACTTTAAATTCTCCATTTTTTAGCAGAGCCACCAAGGGAAGCAGCATGCCGCAAGCGATCAGCCGCTGGATGTGTTGGCAGGGCCCTGCAGTCACATTGCTCAAGGCCCAAGCTGCCTCCTTCTGGATGGAGGACTTGGGGTGCATCAGGAGTTGGGGCAGCACGTTCAGCATGCCTGCGTCAATGGCCATCTGGGTCTGGTAATCCGTTCCTGTGACGATGTTCCCGATTGTGCGGAGAGAAGGGGTCAAGACATTGAGCTCTGAGCTGCTCATAAGCTGGACCAGCCTGGGCAGGACCCCTGTGTTGACCACTTGGCCGATGCGCTCATTGCAGCTATCGGTGAGGTAGGACAGAGCCCAGCAGGTATCCGAGAGAACCTCGCTGTCTTGGTGCTGCAGGAGGTGGGACAGGACAGGCAACATTTGCTTCACGGCTGTCTTGCAAAAGATGGGTTTCATGTTGGAAAGAGAGATAAAATTAGACCTGAGGTGAGGACTGACTGCAGAAGACCCTTGACCACAGTCTTAAAAATTGGGCATCATTTATAAGAGACAATTAGAAGCATTAGATTCTTGAGGAGGAGTGTTACCTGCTAAGAGTGCACCACATAGCATGGCTTAGTGCAGAGAGATGAAAAAGACAGGGAGGAGGCCCCAGCAGGCACCTCAGCATGAGGCAATGAGCACTCTCTCTGACTAAAGTGATAGCAGCAGGAGACACAAAGAAAGAAGGTATACTGTGAGAACAAAATCAATAGGGCTTAGTGAAAGACTGATACAGGAGACATTTAGAGAAAAGGTCTGTGATGTAAGGATTTGTGCCTAGCTCAGCCAACCTCATATCCCCACACTAGGCTCTATTAATGACTGACTGACACATCAGTGCATGCTGAAAACATGTTTGTCAACTAAATGAATGAATCATCTAGCTACCAGCCCAAGCCCTTCATTTTGCACATGAGGAAACAGATCCCTAAGGTTATGTGAATCAATCAAAATTATTTAAGTGTAAGCAGCAAAATCTAAACTAAACCCCCAAATCCTGACTACTATTCCAGAATTTTTTCTGCTATAATTCGTTCTTAATTCAGAGAATCTTGAGGACTATAACACTGATAACAGAAATTGAGATCTGGAGAGAGATTACTGGGGTTCTTGGATAGCACCAATCTGGTTTTGGACATGTAAACGCTGACATGATGACAGAATTTCTAACTTGAAAAGTCCTGTAAGAGGTTTTCAATCCAGAATTCGAGTAAAAGTGAAAATTAGCAACCAGAGATAGACTTATTTGAGAATCATAAATACAGAACTATTAGTTGAAGACATGAGGAATATATTTTTGTAATATCATGAATAAGAAATGTTTTTGGTCCCCCATTACTTTAAATATTTTTTAGTGTATTAAAGAATTGTTGAACAAGCAATGCACTTAAATGCAATCAGTATGTTAATGTTTCTGGAATCACTTTATTTGTTCATGTTAATCTTGATATGCCTGCATACACAGTGATTCAGGGACTGCTGCATTGGCTAGGCTATATTGGTGCCCTCTGAAAACACTGCCAGGGTTCCAGATCTGTCTCTGTGGGTCCTGTTACCATCTTTATTCTGTACTGTAGTTAGATCTTGCCAACTATTATTTTCAAAGGCAAAGCAAAAAATCTTAAAACTTTTCTGAGACTTATAGAATATGCCTATGCTATAAATGAAGCAGAGTCCTTGGATATTTTTGGTGCTTCATCGTTCATGAATCAGCCCATATATCCCCTTATCTGAGAAGTCTTGCCTAAACCCCACCTGCGATCCTTATGCCTGCCCCCATTAAGCAGTCAGTCATTCCTTTCCCTGCATTCTTTTCAGTACTCTAAACATATTTCAGTTGGAGTGTATGGCATATTGCTTTGTAACTGGTTCTGTGTATATCTTGTCAACCTGTGAATGTGTGTGTCTGCAAAAGTGGATTTTTTTATTTCAAGTTTCTATTTAAATTCTAGTTAGTTAACATATACGGTAAAATTGGCTTCAGGTATAGAATTTAGTGATTCCTCACTTACATACAATACCCAGTGCTCATCACAATAAGTGTCCTCCTTAATCCCCATCACCCATTTAACCCCTCCCCCACCCACCTCCTTCCATCAACCCTCAGTTTGTTCTCTATAGTTAAAAGTCTCTTATGATTTGCTTCCCCCCTCTCTCTTTTTTTCCCCTTTCCTATATTCACCTGTTTTGTTTCTTAAATTCCACATATGAGTGAAATCACATGAGAGAAAGAGAGCACACAAGCACATGAGCAGTGAGGGAGGGGCAGAGAGAAGGAGAGAAAGAATCTTAAGCAGGATCTACACCCAGTACAGGGCCCCACAAAGAGCTCCATCCCATATCCCTGACATCATGACCTGAGAGGAAAACAGAGTTAGATGCTTAAACAACTGAGCTACCCAGGTGCCCCAATATTTTGTTCTTTTTCATGGCCAAGTAATACTACATTGCTTATATATGCCACAACTTCTTTATCAGTCAGTGGACATCTTTTAATCTTCCTCATTTTCTCTTTTTTAAAGATTTTATTTATTTATTTGAGAGAGAGAAAGCACAAGTAGGGGAAGTAGCAGAGGGAGAGGGAAAAGCAGGCTCCCTGCTGAGCAGGGACCCTGATGCAGGGCTCAATCCCAGGTCCCTAGGATTATGACCTGAGCTGAACGCAGACCTTAACCAGATGAGCCACCCAGGTTCCCCCCAATCTTTCTCATTTTCATGACATCAGTGCTGGCACATGGCAGAAATTTAATTCATTCCAGTGAAATCTTTTAATATCTGGGCATCAGAAGAGTCAGATAATCAAGTTTTATCTTGCAATTTATGGGACAAAGAAACCATATCCACACAAATTCATTCAGCAAGAGGGAGAAATTATTTCCCTTTCATAGAAACCTCCATAAGGGCAAACAGCTAGGGAGTATTAATGAGCATAATGTATGTGGAGAGAGGAAACTGATCTCACTGGAGCAGAAAAACAGAAGTTGAATAGGAAAGGAAGATAAAGTTGGGTGGGGTGAGTGGGATCAGATTGTGGAGGGGTTAAATGAAAGTTGGTATATTAGTTTTCTATCATTAATGTAACAAACTATAACAAACTTGGTGGCTTAAAATAACATAAACCTATTATCTTACAGGTCTGAAGCCTAAAAGTCAAAGATGGGTCTCACTAGGCAAAACCTGCACTCCTTTCTGGATGATTTAGTGGAGAATCCATTTTCTTGCCTTCTAGAGGCTGCCCACATTCTTGACTCATTACTGTTTTCCAACATCAAAGACAGATTACAAGAATATTTTAACCCTTCTTTGTGTAAAAATGATGCTGGCCTTAAGAAATGGCCCAGCTGTCTTACTGTGGGATGTCCACATGCATAATATTTTGAATGGTTTTAATTCATTTACTGGGATTTGAGTTCCTATTAAACTAGTGAGTAGTATGATTCCCATGACACTGATAGGCTGTGTGATTCTTTCACTTTTGCATAACACTAATTAATAATGACAATACAATGATCCTGATGTAGTTATTATCTTTCTTAGAGCTCAAGGAATTTCATATAATTTAACCTTGTTCTTTCAAAAATATGCCTACAACATTACCAGCTACAGTATCACTATTTGAAATTAAAATAAGGAATAATTTTCCAACATCAGTGAAAGCCCATAAGGAAGTTTATAAATATGATGACCTGATTTTAAAAAAGTCAAACCAGGGGTGCCTGGGTAGTGCAGTCCACTGGGCATCTAACTCTTGGTTTGCCTCAGGTTATCATCTCAGGGTCATGGTCGTGAGATCAAGTCCCACATCAGGCTCTGTGCTCAGCAAGAGTCTGCTTAAGACTCTTTCTCCCATGGGATCCCTGGGTGGCGCAGTGGTTTGGCGCCTGCCTTTGGCCCAGGGCGCGGTCCTGGAGACCCGGGATCGAATCCCACATCGGGCTCCCAGTGCATGGAGCCTGCTTCTCCCTCTGCCTGTGTCTCTGCCTCTCTCTCTCTCTCTCTCTGTGACTATCATAAATAAATAAATTAAAAAAAAAAAGACTCTTTCTCCCTCCCCCTCTGCCCTTTCTTCCCTCCCCTCTCCACTCTCTCTCTCTCAAATAGATAAAAATCTTTGGAAAAAAATAGTCAAACTGTTTTTATATATACAAATCATAAATTTAAAAAAATGATTAAGTGAACCTTCCTGAAGTTAACTAATTCTATCTTTAAAGTATAGGTGATAACGTCTGTGTTCATTCATTCACTCTGTTAGTAAGTGTTCCTGTAAAGTCCTGGGTACCAGATATCATTCTAGGCATAAGGGTCCAATAAAAACAAGATAAAGTCATCATTCGGGAGCTTACTCTTAGTAGGACACAGACCATATACTTCTAACAAACATATTAAGAGACAAATCATCTTTTAGGTAGTGAAAAGCACCCTAAAAATAGCACAGGGTAGAAAGAAAGAGGAAGGGAGTGTTATTTTAGTTAGGATGATCAGGAAAGGCCTGAGCAGATATTTGAATTAGGAGCAAGCCATGTGAAGAAACAAATAAAGAATAAATATACCAATTTGATCTAAAGAACAAGTATTAATTAAGCATAGACTATGGACCAGGAATTATTTTTCAGGACAAACCAGAAGAGACAAAGAAACAACAAAAAGTATATGTACCATTGAGTTATATCAACAAATATCTACCAAACACAATTATACCCTTAGAGGTCAGTCTAACTACTCCTATTTCTAGATTATGGTTTTAAAAGTTTTTTGCAATAAAACCATTTGTTTAAAGTCTCATGTGGAATTCCAACATATCAAACAAATAAAAATGAATTGTGTTGAAGGATTTGTGGATGTCCATAGGCCCATCCTGTCTCCTCTTCAAAAGTTCCCACTCCCACTTTGTAATGATATTAATTTCTTAGTTTTGATAATTGTACCATGGTTGTATAAAATGTTAACATTAGGAGAAGCTGGGTAAAGGATATATAAGAACTCATTGTACTAATTTTACAACTCTTCTGTAAGTCTAAACTTATTTTCAAGTAAAAAGTTGAAAGGAAAAAAAGTGGAAACACTTTAAGTTCTTATTGACCTTCTGAAACTATGGTGTCCACAGTTTACCAATGGTCTTCCAAAAAATAAATAAATAGAAATAAAATTAAAAGAGGATCCAGTCAGCGTCAAATATCTTGGGTGAGAAGGGAGTAATATTCAGACTTTATATACAATATTCCTATTTGGATATTATTGCCGTAACAACCTCACTACATTACCATATTTTGTTTTTTCTTACACATTTTTTCTCACCATTTATGACAGTTGTTAAGCCAAGTGCCCCAGGCATTTGCTCCTAACCAATGAACAGCCAGACTGGGAACTTCAAGTCTTTCAGCAAGTCACA